TTTGCTCACATCTATCAAGACATAATCTGGGTTTAATCCACATTCGCTCACATCTATCAAGACATAATCCGGGTTTAATCCACATTCGCTCACATCTATCAAGACATAATCTAGGTTTAATCCACATTTGCTCACATTTATAAAGACATAATCTGGGTTTAATCCACATTCGCTCACATCTATCAAGTTCTAAACCATGGGTGTATAACATGTGCTGAACAAACTAAAACTCAGAGGCAGGAGATGATATACAGCACTACAGACTATTTACATTTTAGTATTTTCACAAGAGACACAAAGGACAAAGACTGCCAAACAAAGATCTGCTTAGATAAGGAAATACTATAATGTAAATTCTGTGGGCATGTACACAAGCATGACAGATGTTGTGAGCAGAGTTTCTCTCCATTTTACTCTCCACACTGACAACTATATACAGCAGGACAATGAAACAAGCAGCCAGACGGTTAAAAAATATTCACTAACATTAGAGAATTGAAGGTATCAACACAAGATAAACAAATCTACATATAGAACATCAAAACATTACAACAAGTAATTTTCCATCACATTTATAACCAATATAGCCTAGATAGTCCATCCATTATACAGTGACAAATTTGAATGTTAGCACAGCATAAATTATCAAACATAAACGAGCAAACTAACAGTTGAAATAGCTCCACTGTCTTTGTAGAGTATCAAAGCAATTGACTGATAGTTTTTAAATGTTTACCTAAAATAGAATGAAAGATAATATAGTTGAAACATAAACATGTCAAAGATATAAATCCAGAAGCTGACGCTTGATTATGATGATTTTTCAACATTAAAATTGTTGATATTCTGTCATCTTGCATCTAATCATCAAACGAATACTTGTCCATATTGAGAGATATTGCTCAGAAACAGCAATAATTAAAACACAATGGCCACCAGTTGGCCATTTTGAATACATCTATATATCAAAGACATGTATATAATGAATATAGAAAATTTTAAAATAATCAGTCCCAGTATGTCAGATATATTTAACCACATTGATTAAAACAAAATGGCCACCAGTCGTACATTTTGATGTAACCCGGCTTTTGACATTTACACACTCCCATGTTAATCTATGGTCAAAAATGCTTTTCCATAGAAAGCAGAAGCTTGACTGGCTGATTCATTTATCTCCACTGAGGCGAATATCCCTGTAGACAAAGCAATGCAGGCATTCAGGTGAAAATGGATGCTCACAACAGAAATAAGCTTTATTGCATCGTAGCATGTAGACTGGACACATTGCTAAAACAACCAAAACTGCTCATATTTGGGGTGGACTACTAAAAAGTCTAGAACATACTTTGTGTCAAATTCAACACGCTGGCATGATCAGTGAAAATGAATAAATGCTTTACTAGGCAACCAAGGGTTGAATAATTAAATATCTTGAATTACAGAATGCAGTGATGAAAACCATACTTTTCTAATAATCTAATGCATCACTTTGTACATGTAATTGGCAGAAACATTTCTTAGAATAATGTTTAATGAATTAATAATAATTAATTGATTGATTGGACATTTTTGATTTTGAATACGCAGAAAGCAATTCATTTATGCCATAATATCATGGATATTTTGAAAACAAAAACAGTCAAATTGTTTAAAATACTTTATTATATTAGGAAAATTACATTTTGTAAGTGAGTAAAATAAACTACATTTATAAAGAAACCATTATAATAATTTCAGAGCATGTACCACACTACGGCAGTGTATATTTTTGAATATTTTTAAACTATGATGTCATTTAAAAATTTTTTGATAATTTGAATTTTGTATAACAACTAAACCAGTATATTTTCAGCATACAAGTAACCAACTGAGCAACACTACTCACTAGCTTTGATTTACTCATCAAGAAGATGTTTCTCTTCACAAAGTTTAGCTATGTATTATTATTTTTACTGCTTGATTTTACATACTAATAGAATACAAGCTACAGTGTACATAAACTACAGTGTACATAAACTACAGTGTACATAAACTACATACATACATTTTATTCTTTCTTGCCTCTGTGAGCTGCACTCTAGCACCAAGTTTGAAAAATCACATTTCCAAAAGAAAGTGTAAATATAATATGTCAAAAAATATTGAGGTAGATGTTCAAATGAATGTGATAAAATTACTTAAACATTTCATACAAATTTGAAATTCAATAAAAACGAGCAGCCTGTCGGCTGAGATAGCTCCGCTGTTAGCAATGCACATTGCAATTAAAGTACAGAAGATATCATTAGAAAATGAACAATGTGTATAGTATCAAAGCAATCTGACTTCAACAAGAATTCAAAAATATCACTTTTCACCAAAAATATTTATCAAAATTAGATAATTGAAAATATCAAGAAATGAACAAATCTGAAAGAGGTCCACATGTAGTATCTATACATTTAATATCAAAGCAATTGGACTTGCGGTTTTCAACAAGAAGTCAAAAATATAACTTTTTACCAAAAATGACAAAAATAATCACCAAAATTAGAGAATTGAAGATATCATCATGAACTGAACAAATCTACAGAAGGTCTACCCAAGGTACATATAAACCAAGTATCAGGCTTGTAGTTTTCAAGAAGAAGTCGAAAAGGTAAAACATTGACACGGACGGTGAACAATCACTCATATGATAAGCGCCGCTCGACAAAGTCAACAGCGGAGCTAAAAAATTGACTTGAAATATGAAATGTACATATATCAAGGCTTCTGAATTTTCTCTGTATATTTATTTAATCAGAAAACAACCTTTGATTACAACAACCCAAACTTGGCTACTGTACTGTCATCTTGTTTAGCAAGTGAAAATATAAGAATTGAATAATAATCCGATCAGAAGGGAGTGACATGATGCGAGGATGTAGTGGACTTTTTTGGGGGCAAATTTTAATCAAAATCGTCATTTTATGTTTATATTCATAGTTATATATAATTATTCTATGAACATTTCAGACCTCCATTGTAAATACCAGTGATTAAAACTGACATTAATGTTATAATGACAGAATTTACATGCATTTTATAAATTACCATTTAAAAATCGATGTAACAACTCTACTACTCATCTATCAATATGTCAATTAGTGTATATTACAGCAAAATACTTTATTTTCGCTTGGAATTAATTTTCACTATTTTCGCTGAAGGAATGATTTAGTGAAAACAAGTCATTGTCAATGACACGTCCCCGTTCCGTTCATATTTGAGTGACATATACATTCAAAGCAGATCATGACCAAAATGCACCTGCATATGTACAACACATTGTGCTAAATCTGAACAAAATCCATCCATGCATGACTGAGATCCGGTTCTGGAATTGTGAAAATACGTGATTTTGATGTATTTTCGGCCTTAAAATGGCCATCATTTCGCTATTGTTAAGCAGATCATGAAACAAAGGCACATATCTATTTGTGACATGATGTACCATGTGTGTGTGAAGTTTGAACTTGATCAATCCAGACATGTCTTGGATACGGATCCAGAACTGAATTCTTTAACAAAATGGCCGCCAGTCGGCCATTTCGAACTTGATCCAAAAAAAAAAAAGACGTGCATCAAGGTCCTATTATGTTTAATGTATGTACCAAATTTGAATGAAATCCGTCCATGCATAACTGAGATCCGGGTCCGAAATGGTGAAAATGTGCGATTTCAATGCATTTTCGGCCTTAAAGCGGCCGCCATTTGGCTATCGTTAATGAGATCATGAAACAAATGCACATACATATTTGTGACATGATGTACCTTGTGTGTGTGAAGTTTGAACTCGATCAATCCAAGCATGTCTCAGATACGAATCCAGAACTGAATTCTTTAAAACAAAATGGCCGCCAGTCGGCCATTTCGAACCCGATCCAAAAAAAAAAATGTCGTGCATCAAGGTCCTATTATGTTTAATGTATGTACCAAATTTGAACAAAATCCGTCCATGCATAACTGAGATCCGGGTCCGGAATGGTGAAAATGTGCGATTTTGATGCATTTTCGGCCTTAAAATGGCCGCTATTCGGCTATCGTTAATCGGATCATGAAAAAAATGCATGTGCATATGTCCCATATAATGTGAGATGTATGAGTAAAGTTTGAACTTAATCGGTCCATGCATGTTCGAGATACAGGTGATCACGGACGCACGGACGGACGCACACAGGGCAAAACATAAGTCCCCGTTTTCGGACTGCGTTCGAACGGGGACTAATAATCAGTCAAATATAGCTTATTTCCTATATTTTACATTCAATTTGGCAAAAATCAGTGAAAACATATTCCAGCTAAAATAAATTGTTTTACAGTATCGTTTTCAGACATTGAGAGGGCAGATTTATTAACTTTTTTCAGAGATTATCGAAAGAAACAATAGCTAGTTATTCTTAAGATTTGGCTACCTAAATGTCAAAATGAAATATTAAACATATTCTAGTAAAAACAAAAAAAACAACATTTAAACAACAAGAACGTTATGCAAAATCTCTATATGGTTTATGTTTTTCATGTCATGAAAAACTAATTATCTTTAAGTTTTGCGAAGTATTGGTTTTCATAAATACATAGTTTAATATAATTTAAAACAATGTATGAAAATTATTAGTGTGATCATCTACATCTAATCAGGTATCAGGTATTATGATAATTACAAGGTTTTAGATGAAGTTTTTGGAGCACTGTGTACAATTAGGTCATCTTGCCAACCGTAACCTAGGTGTTGTTGATGCTGGATTTCAGGTTGTGCTAATGGGTTTCTACTGATGACAACTTCTAATCTTTCACCAGCCTCTGCTATTAATGGCACAACCATGCAGCAGTCAAAGTCCCGGGTTCTGGTGTGGTTGATCTACAAAAGACAATTAAAATGCGAATGAATAAACATTTAATGTTGAGTTATCACAAAAGTTATCACATTAAATATCGATACTACGTCTATTGTCATCATAAGTATATGTTAATACCTGAACATATTTAATAATAACTTAAGATTAATATACCAATGTTGATGAAGACCTTTTTTGTTTTAGAGCAATACATGTACCAATTCTTTTGTGACAGAGACTCAATAATGGCATCAAATTAAGTTTAGAAATGTAAACAAATTTTAGAGTGTAAAAGTTGTGTTTAAGTTTTACAGTTTTAGTGATATTCAGGATAATGCTAAGTAAATATTCAATAGATAGCTCCACTCAGCTGTAGTTTTTGAAACTTTGTTACAATTTTTATATTTAGTGTTAGGCTTATTTTCACCTGACTAAGTATACCTTCAATATTTAACTATTTCCAAACACAAATTACTGTAGAAATAGTAAATGTATTTTCTAAAATAGTATTTTACTGTACTGAAAATAAAATTCATACCTGCAGTATCCTGTCAAATGGCCGGATATTTCCGGTTTGGGCGGCAGGACCACCAGGTCGGACACAATTCACATAAACCCCTCTCTCATAGAGGCCGTCTGAGACACTAAATCCAAAGTCATCATAATCCATGTCCTTACAGAGAGCGACTTTATGTAGTTCAATAGGAGTTGGTGAAAATATATCTTTCATCTGGTCATTGATGTTTTTGAAATCGGTAGGATGTCCTCGGCCAATGGGAATGGTACTGCTTTTGGGAACCACCTGAGCATGTCCATTCACTGTAGCTGGTGGTTGAGTATCTCTATCTAGCGTAGTGTCTTCCATCAATTCTCGGAGTATGTCTGTTTGTCCACATTTTTCCAAGTCTTTCAGTGCTTCAGTCCAGATATAGTTTTTCATTAGATCATTAGCATCTTTCTCATCTTGGTCTGAGCTGAGTGCATCACTGCTACCACATCCATTGCCACTGTTACACGAGTTTGTCTGCAGGTCCCACTCCTCTTCATCGTCACTACCATGCTCATTATGCATAACTTTAGTCCTTGACTTACATTTTTTAGGCCTCTGAGGTCTTGTCAGCCTTCCTGTCCTCTGTTTCAGTGATGCCTCAGAAATTTGGTTCTGCATTGGGTATTTCCCAGCTGCTGCTACAGTTGGGTTGCTATGGTAACCTGCATCAAATCCTGACCCATCCCAGGAATCCACAGCACTGTCAGCGCTAGTAATCGGTGTGCTATGTCTGTCACGCCTCAGACGATCTTTATGAAAATGCAGGTTTGATTCTAAGTTATCATAGTCACTCATCATAGCAGCATTAGAGGCCTTGAAACACACAAAAACATTATGTGATTAGAGAAGAGTGAATATCCAAAGTACAAAATTTGATCCTTTGTGGTGACATATGACACTGCATAGTCTTACATCATTCATTCAAATGATATGTGTATTAAGTAATAAGTACCGGTAGCTCCAACTATTATTGGTAGGATGTCCTGCCACACAAAAAGCATATTATATTTGTCTGTCACCAGAAATAACAACCACCTACAAGGAATCTATCCCCTTCTCATCTAAATAATGGTCCAAATAATGGTTTATCTGCATTTATCTACCTATTTTGACTGGCTAATACTACATTGACACGAACGACGACGGACAATCACTCATATGATAACATAAAAGGGAAAAATTTGAAAGCATGAAAGAGCCATAACACATAGTAAATAATTTTGCATACCTACCTCAGCAGCACCAGTCACAGCACGTTTCTGATTTCTTGGTTTACAAATCTTAAGATTAACAGTATCACCAACAGTCTGTAAAAGTCTAATCGCTTCAGATAGTGGCTGACCTCGGAGTGGGACAGAGTTTATAGCAAGAATCACATCCCCAACATGAATAGCACCAGTTCTGTAAAACAATAATCATAAACAGATTGATGATGAGTCAAAAGTGAAAGAAAAAAAGCTTAATAACTACTGTAAACATGTCTTTTTCACAAGCATTTGATTGTCTTTTAGCGAATTTAACGAGAGAACTGATTCGCTAATTCAAGATGTCGCTGATTTTTATTATAAATTTAAAATGGCCACCAAACAATGTCTTTTTTCTCTACACACACTTTGTAAACAACACACACACAAAAGTGTAATGACATGATAGATTCACTTTATTAAAAAGTAAATTAACACAAAAAAATTAACGTATTCATTGTGGTCATTATTTCAATGAAAATAAATAAAGGAAGTGATACTGATAATTATTACCGAAATTAGTAGTACTTAGTAATTTTCGAGTCCCAATATAAAAGGTCAATGTTCTGGATGTAACGCAGCAACGATGCCCGCTTTTTCAAATCCCTTTTGAATCAGTTTTTTGTCATTGCGAACAGAATCAAATTACACTTGACAGTTTTCTTTGTTTTTATGGAGGTGATAACTGTGCATTTGTTTTGGTGTGACAGACAAGCATTGTGAAACCAGGAAATCAACAATGACAAGAGAGATTCGCTAAATCAACAATGCGCTATTACATCATTTTACCACAATTCGCTAAAATTGCATGTTGTATTTTCAACATGTTTTACAGTACTTATAGCTCATTCTATTCTCATATTCATTCAACACATGTATATGTACACAGCCGTGAAAATGAGATTACCTTTCAGCCAGGCCATTGTCTGTAAGACCTGAAATGACGATTGGATCAAACGGCTCCTCTGTACCTGATATAGTGATGCCCAATGAACCACCATGACGAATTAATTCTACAGAGTAAGTTATAGCACCACTCCCAGGTTCATCTGAAGATCAAATTATAGTGCCTAATCAAATTACAATATTGGTGAATTACATGTTTTCAATAATACCATGAATTTACAACCAGTAAGACAAGCTGACAACTGCAATACATCATCAACTAATAGCTGTGATGTGATGTGATACATGTATATGTATATGGGTAATGTATGTTGTATCATATATATTTTTTCAATACAACTAGACAAGAGTAAAATAGCTGGTGTCTTCAAACTTGGTACACATATTTCTTATGCAACTCACAAATTTTGCTTACATTTTCAGGACAAATTCATAGTAAATGTTTATGTGCGTGCTCAGTGCAAAACTATACAAAAAGAAATTGATAGGGCCTTCAAATGTGGTACTCATGTTCACCATGTGATCGCCATACTGAGTTACACGTTCAGGTCAAGGTCACAGTATATATGTATGCATTACAATAGAGTTCCAAGGGGGAAATAAGGGGCTTTCAAACTTTTCAGGAGAAAGGTCATGGTCACAATACATCTCTTGGGGGAAATAGTAAGATGCTTTCAAACCTTTCTAACTTACCAGTGTGACCCACAAGACCTTTTGACAATTTGATTTTATACCAACTATAAGTTCTAAATAATGGCCTGGAAAGTTGACATGATTATCACTACTGAGAAATCTGATGCAGGTTGGCACCTCTTCCAAGTGATGTCTTGTTCAAGTGTGTACAAAAAATAAATTATTTTACCAGAAAATGTGTCATCTTTCTGTATCCGCAGTTTGACTATTTCATCAGCTTGTTGCAAAATCTGTGCAGCATCTTCCACTGTACAGTTATCTAGTGGGATACTGTCAATGGCCAGTAGTTTATCTCCTGGTGATAGTGTTCCTGTCCTGAAATATGCAACACACATTTGGTGAATCATCTTTATGTATAATATCAGACAATTAAATCATCATATAGTAGATGTATCCATCAGAGTCGCTAAAGACATAGACCAGTTCATGTATAAATTATCTATTGCATGTACATTATGACTGCAGTTACCTGTGAGCTACACTGCCTTTCTTGACATGTGATATCAGTAGCGGCTCACCGGCTTTCCGCTGTTTAGGACCTACATAAAATGCAAAGTATATTAAGCACAACAAAGAGAGACTTGTTGGAGTAATTTCTGAATCATTTATCTGTGAAGCACTGTAATTGA